TCTAACAAATTATGGAGCTTTGAGCCCAAGGAGGGAGTTGTAGGAACCCCCAATCCATAGACAGTTGGTCAGAAGTAAGGGAGGCCTGGATTTGCGATTGGTGTGAGTGAGGGCAGTCTTGTGGGACTGAGACCTTAACCTGTGGGGTCTGTGCTAACTCCAGGTAGTTGTTGTCAGAATTGATTAAATTGTAGGACACCCAATTGGTATTCACAGAGAACCGGGGAGTTGCTTGGTGTGGAAAACTCACACATTTGGTGTCAGAAGTGTTGTGAGTAGAGGAAAACAAGATTTCCTTTAAGCACTTTTTGTTAATGGTTTCAGTGAGAGCACTGATGACCAACTAGGCCAAATCAACCAAACTAGAAAGTGCTAGAAAGCTGAGAGGGATATCAAATCAAAGTCTAAAACTATCTTAATTCAAAATGATGATTCAGAAATGACAATTTAGTAAGAATAATAAATATAATATCTAAACCTTGGGTCCAAAAAACAACTGCATGGGAACAAATGAGGGAAGATGTGGCTTCACAATAAGAAATCTACAATAATAAAGAAGAGCTTAGAAGTTTTAATTAACCATAAGCTCAGTATTAGCAATGTTACGCAAGTTAATATGGCCCTTAGATTCTGTTATTATAATGTCCTGAATTTCTACTTCAAGACGGTAGACAGAGCATAGGCATCTACTTCTTCCCAAGTCCCATTAAAAACAACAGAAAAACAAATTTTAATGAAGAAAATTATAACATCACTGGAAAACATGAAAAGGGTATCAGTGGACCAGAAATTTTAAAGACTACCTTGAAATGAGCAAATACAGGCTTGGGCAGGTGGAATAAGAACAAGAAAAAACCCATAGCCTAATATCCGAGAGGTAAAGTAATGGTCTTCCTGAGAGTGTCCCAGAGAAGTTCCAAACTCCAAGCCAACAAACATTACCCTGTTCCTAGCACTTTATATGTACTATTTCATTTAATCCTCATAATTACTTTATAAAATAGTACTATAAGACCATCTTTTAGACGAGAAGCTGAGGCTTAGACAAGTTATTTAATCACACACCTAATAAATGGTGAAGCCAGGATTTGAACCCAGTTAGTCTAAATCTTGAGTCTGTACTTTTAGTTATCATGCAGATATAGGTGAAAGGGTAATCCATCAGAGTAACTCCCTAAAGCACTACACTAATTCAGGGACCACAGCTGGGCTCTCTCCCTCTAGGCCCCTGAGGTAGAGTAGTTCATTTCTTTTGTTCTTGCACTAAACCTTGGTAACTTCCTTCTACAAAATGAGTGAAATCTGTCCAAGTGCCTGAAGGGCCTGAGAGCAGAGGAAAGACACGAGTCAACTGCAGATTCCCACATGGATATGGAGGAAGGACAAATTTTTAAAGGAAAGGAAGAACCACTCTAAAAAGATTACACCCCCACCAGAAATAAGTTTCCTTACCTCGGCAGCTGTGGGGATTCCAGGCTGCCTGCTCCAAGACCACGTTTCCTACAGGGAACTCTGCCACAGAAAGTTCACAGTCAATCCTCCCATTCAAAGAAGATGTCTGGGGGCCGGCCAGGTGGCGCAAGCGGTTAAGTGCGTGTGTTCCGCTGCGGCGGCCCAGGGTACGCCGGTTCGGATCCTGGGCACGCACTGACGCACTGACGCACTGCTTGTCAGGCCATGCTGTGGCGGCGTCCCATATAAAGTGGAGGAAGATGGGCACGGATGTTGGCCCAGGGCCAGTCTTCCTCAGCAAAAAAAAAAAGGAGGAGGATTGGCAGATGTTGGCACAGGGCTGATCTCCTCACAAAAAAAAATTAAAAAAAAAAAAAAAAACAAAGATGATGTCTGTCTTATAAGTGGTGAGGCAATCTAGCACAGTGGTTAAGAATATGGACTCGGGGGCCGGCCCCGGCCCTGTGGCTTGGTGGTTAAGTGCGCGCGCTGCGATGCTGGCGGCCCGGGTTCGGATCCCGGGTGCGCATCGAGGCACCACTTCTCTGTCCAGCCTGAGGCCGAGTCCCACATACAGCAACTAGAAGGTTGTGCAGCTGTGACATACAACTATCTACTGGGGCTTTGGGAGCAAAAAATAAATAAATAAATAAATAAATAAAAAAAAAAAGAATATGGACTCCGAAGCAGGCCTGCCTGGGTCCAAACCTGGGTTCTGCCACTTAACAGCTATGTAACTCTGGGGAAGTTACTTCATACCTCTGTACCTCTGTTTCCCCATCTGAAAAATGAGGATAAGTATATTTATCTCATAAAAGTTGTTGTGAGGATTAAGTGAGATAATTTTCACTCAGAACAGTGCCTGATCCAGAGAAGAAACGATGGGCCTTAGCAAAGGGCCTGGCACATGGTAACACACAGTGTGTTGTGTTAGATGTCAAGTGCAGGGGAAAGGAGACAAATTACATGACCGCTAAGAAATCTTCCAGCCTTGAAAACCTATTGAATTCTCAGGAGAAAAACAATTTAACTTTATCAAATAAGACAAAGCAAATTCTAAAACTATTGTTTTGTATTCATTGAAGTCAGATCAATACTTGGTTTAAATTCACCCCTGAGCCCCTGAAGGCATTTGTTAGCCTTTCTCTATTCATGACTACTAACTATAAGACGCCTCTCAGTAATATAAACTAAATGTGTAAAATGAATTTGGATTTAGAGAATGAGGAGAGTTAACTGACTTCTAATCAATTTTGATTAATATCAAGTAATAGACATAACAAAGCTACTCCCTTACTAGAGTCTTGGTCATAGATTCACTTCTTTCAATCCAGAAGTTCAAAAATGGAAACTTGCAATAATAGAACAATATCCAAACAACTCCCAAGAAGGAACAAACTATAACAGCTTCTTGGCAAGTGGACTCTCCAGTACAATAACAGGCCACGGCCCTGCTAGGCTGCAGGGAAAAGCCAGCCAGCCACAGCCAGTGACAGCCCAGGTTAAGACACAGGCAGGGTCAGGAATTTGTTCCAAACCTAAGCTAACCTAACATATGGATTGATTATGAGTCCCACTCTAGAAATCCTATCCATTTACAGTTCCAAATTAATAACAATTTCCTCAGAAACAACTTGAAGGCCCCAGAAGTTAAGCCATCTGCCTAGGGGGCTTCTTGTCCAGAAGCAACGTGAACCCAAAGCAGACCCTCTGGGCAGTACCCAAGAGACCTTCATAAGCTGAGAACCCAAAGAAATCAGAGCGGGACTCCGCCAACCTCTACAATAAGTAGAAAAACAAACTGTGGGCATGTCAAACAGAACCAAACCTGAGATGCATATTACAAGACTAACAAGTACAGGAACTACACATCTACATGGTCCTTATCACGAGGCTAGAAAGAACCTGCAAGAGAAGATTAGAACAGTGAGGGCAAAGCCTCCACTCCGAAAACAAGACATCAAAGACTCAGGGCCCTTTTCCTCGTCCATCTTTATATTTATCACTTTTTCCTACTTCTTTTTCTCTGTGGCTTTCCTTGCCACTTAACCACTTTCCTAATTTTTCTAGTTGTTGCATTCCCATTTTTAATTTGAATTCTATTAAAATTCCTTCTCTCTATTCTTTCTCCTACTTACTATCTTAAATGCCATTCTAACAAGTTACAAAAGAAACTGCAGAAAGAAACAAACATAAAAAGAAGGCTTTGACAAATTCTATTTGTTGATGTGAATATGGTCTACTTTTTTCTGGCCTGTAATCTCCATATGTCAAAACATCACACCTATGCTAACAGTACAAAAACTAATAAAAAATACTCAAGTCTAATGAATAATTTTTGGTGACAACAGTATGAAAAAGCAAAGACCAAAATTAATGCAAAGAGGATTCAGATAATCCTCACTATGACATATAGACAGTAATTCATAATTCTAATACAAATGAAATCTTTTACCTAAATTCAAAATACATAGATATGAAAATGTCTCAAAATGCAGCCACTCTCAGTATTTTATGTTCAGAAATAAATGTGGAAAAACTTAGCACTTTTCGGGAGCTGGCCTGGTGGCGCAAGCAGTTAAGTGCACGCACTCCGCTGTGGCGACCCGGGGTTTGCCGGTTCGGATCCCGGGCATGCACTGATGCACCACTTGTTAGGCCGTGCTGTGGCAGCGTCCCATATAAAATAGAGGAAGATGGGCATGGAAGGAAGCAATTTTAATCAATTTTTCCTTAGAAGACTTCACTTAAGTCTCTTCAAAGTTGTTTCCTCTTTAAAATAGGAAACAAAGGTAATGGTATATATACAATATATGTATTGACTACTTATATCAAAACCTATTCTGGGAGCCAGTCCCACGGCTTAGCAGTTAAGTGCTCGCGCTTCGCTACTGGCAGCCCGAGTTCGGATTCCGGGCACGCACTGACGCACGGCTTGTCTGGCCATGCTGAGGCCGCGTCCCACATACAGCAACTAGAAGGATGTAAAACCAGGACATACAACTATCTACTGGGGCTTTGGGAAAAAAAAAGGAGGAGGATTGGCAATAGATGTTAGCTTAGAGCCAGTCTTCCTCAGCAAAAAGAGGAGGATTAGCATGGATGTTAGCTCAGGGCTGATCTTCCTCACAAAAAAAAAAAAAAAAAAAACCCTATTCTGCAATTAAGTGGGGTCCAGGAAATATAATTACTTAAGTATTTTAAATGTATGCCATGAGCTACATCCATGTTTCTGAGGTGGTGTGTCTTTGTCTCATTTTTATATTATTGTTTATTTTTTTCCTCCCTCCAACACTTTGGGATTCTTTCACTTAGAACGTAATATTAAAATAATGCCACAATCCTACCTGTGTAAGTACCTGAATTTATATCTGAAGGGCATTAAGTTTACTTGAAAAATAAAACTGAAAGAAAAAAATCACTTTTTTTCTCTTGGCTATTTTCTAAAAAATATGTAACCATACTAATACACTTGAGCAAATGATTCCAAAAATATAAAAGAAGAAAATCATACATTTCATAAAAACCATAGACAATATCCATCTTACCAATATCATTGCCAAGAGAATTAGGATCAGATGCCCCCAGGGTAGCTTCAAACTCCTCTTGGAGACGGTATGCTCTTTGCAGCAGAGCTTCAAGTTTATGGATAAATTCAGTACTAATAATATCCTACAAGGAGAGAAAAAGTATACACAGAAATATTAGATTCTGATGTTAAAATTCTAAACATTTTCTACTTTTAAATGAAAGGCAGAGAAAGTGAGGGATATAAAAAACAACTGTTGGGTGGTGAGAGTGCTGTGACAGAAGTCAGGAGGCCTGGGTTCTAGCTGTGCCTTTGGCAAAATCATCCTAGTTCTCAGCGATTCCATTTCTTTATCTGTAAAATTAATGAGTTGGACTAGATCAGGGGCTCTCAAAGTAAGGTCGTTGGAGCAGTAGCATGAATATCATCTGGGAACTTGTTAGAAATGCAAATTCTCAGGACCTACCCTAGCCCCACTGAATTAGAAACTCTGGGGGTGGGGTCCCCAAATCTGTGTTTTAACAAGCCTTTCAGAGATTCTGATGATGCTCAAGTTTGAGTATCTCTAGCCTAGATGACCAATAAGTACCAGTCCAACTGTAACTCTGTGTGATTTTTATGAATATAATGGCACTTAATTAAACCCAAAGCACAAAACAGACTTCTAAAAATTCCTTTAGAAATCATACCTACTCAATTCTATATATTCTTGGAAAACCAGGAAACTTGATGATGAATTGCAAATTTGGGATTTAACAATTAACTGAATAGAAAAAGCCCAATGAGAAATACCCCCCACATAATCTCAAGGGAGAAAACAAAACGGTTCTATTAGATGCCACAGAAAGCAAGTACACTGATTCAATTCTTCCAATATTATGAAGACCACTCTCAGATAAATCACCCTTACATCTACACTTTCTTCAGCAATGGCATCTCCTGCACCCAATTTAATGGAACCACAGGCTTCATCTTCAGCCTGTCTATTTCGAAAGGTTAGAGCTTGTTCCCATCGACGCAACGCCTCTTCAAACAATTCCATACCTAAAAATTCAGAACAGAACAATTGTAAATAAGAAAAACCAATGCCAAAATAAAATCATTTTGAGTCTGAAGTGTTTTTCATACAGTTATCATCAATGGCATAGTCTGACTGTAATTTTGGCACTAAAGAATAATTTTATGCTCACATCATTTCAGAGTAGAATCTTAATTTCCCAATATATTCTAGGCCTATAAGTTCTAATCAACCAAAAAGAGAGAAATGACCAATATATTTTCATTATTTTAAAAATGCAACTCAAATGTACGTGGTGCTTGGAATTTTTGTAGAATATCATGAATTCATCAAAGGCCAACAATCATGGCTAATTTTTATAGTCACACAACTATCTTTCAAAACATCCCCCTAAATTAAAGAGAAAACTGATAAATAGAAGAAACTAGTTGATAAGAAGCTATGAGGTTTAGGTGTCAGGCTGGTGGCGCCAGCGGTTAAGTGCGCGTGCTCTGCTGCGGTGGCCCAGGGTTCGCTGGTTCGGATCCCGGGCGCGCACCGACGCACCGCTTGTTAAGCCATGCTGTGGCGGCGTCCCATATAAAGTGGAGGAAGATGGGCACGGATGTTAGCCCAGGGCCAGTCTTCCTCAGCAAAAAAAAAGAGGAGGATTGGCATTGGATGTTAGCTCAGGGCTGGTCCTCCTCACAAAAAAAAAAAAAAGAAGCTATGAGGTTTATAAAGATTCTCAGAAGGAGACAGTAAAGCTGAGATGAAAGATAATAGCATAGAAGTCTAGAATAAAGTTTTTTCTATGTTTTTTTCCACCAAATGGTATCTAAAACCACTATAATAACTTGTTGATTAGCATGGATAAATTGCTAGGCCAGAGCTAAAAATCTACAAGACTACTGGAAGAATCCATAAAGGGTTACAATCCAAGTAGGAATTTCATATCCCTGCTGATAGAAAGCTTTTGTGTGAAAATAGGTGAATATATGTCTCTTTTTCTCCAAATTAAAAAAAAAAAAGGATAACCAAAATAATTACGCACGTCAAAGAAAACCAAAATATTTCAAAACTTCAATTTTTCTAGACATATAAAAGGAAAAGATCTTTAAAAGCTGCTTAAGGATCTGGACAAGGTATTCTCAAGATGTTATTAAGCTATAGTAAAGAATACCTCTCCCCTAAAATCATTTCTTTAATTATCTGGAGAACCTACAACTCTAAACAAATACAATGTTCTTTAAATGCAATTTAGGACTTTCCTTCTTGTTTAATTTTCTATAGCAAAGGATTGCTGCCTAGATCTAACTTCTAAAAAATGTATGCATTTAAAGGTCAATTATATCACTATCTACTCTCCTTTCTCCAAGCTATACAATTCTAATTCCATCATCCTTTTCTCACTCCATCCACTCTCCATGCACCTGATTATCTTGGCTAAACATAAGGAAGAATTATCTACTAGCAGAGTTGTCCAAAGACAAAAGTTGCCTCTCAGGAACTACTGTGTCTCACATCACTGCAGAACATGGCCCAAATTATCACATATCATCAGTTCTGTAACAGGAAATCAAACATGTCACTACTCTTTTTTTTTTATGTCATCCATCTTGTAAAGGAACTGAAACAACTGGAGGGTGATCAGGTAATCCACAAGGCTCCTACCAATCCTACCTCTGTAACACTGAGTCTCCCTGCAGCTTCTCTAGTTTCACTCGATTTCTCTTCAGTTCTAACTCTCAGTATTCCAACAGAAGCTGTGAGTGTAGATTTACTACCCATAGTTAGAATAATCTAGAAGCATAATGAGCTTAATTCTCTGGATATCTTTGGAAAAGGTGGCAAAAGAACGACTCTCACATCTTTCCCCACAGGCAGGAGTACCTATTGGGATACCACTGGAGATGATATACTCTTTACCACTCTAGAGTGTGGGAGTGCATTCAGAGAGACACAGTCCTTCTGCCAAGTCATCATCCCCTTCACTGCTCATTGACTAGGGCTACATCATGATTTTTTGGTTTTGTCTTTTAATTATTATGCATTTCCAATAAAAGGAATATAGTCTGAAACAGAATAGAGAAGAATAGGAAAAAGCATTTGAAAAAGTATTTGATTCAGTGTTAAATTCTTTGGTTCTCTTCCTGGGCTCCAGTGAGACTTTCCAGATATGCTCGTGGTCAAGCCAAGAGGAATATTGAGATGTAAAACATAGGCCTTCTTTCTACTTAACATCTTTTCTGGATAAGAAGAATACAAATGACAGCTAGATAAAATAGATTAAGTAGATTCTTTATATAAGATTCATTATATAAGAGTCAACAGATTAGGTTAGGTGAGTGTAATAAACTGAATAATGGCCACCCAAAGATATCAGGCCCTAGTCTCTGGAACTTGGAAATGCCACCTTACATTTACAGGTGTGATTAAATTAAGGATCTCAACATGGGGAGATTATCCTAGATTATCTGATGGGCCCTAAATCTAATCACAACCATCCTTAGAGAGGCAGAGGGAGATTTGATATACACAGAGGAGAAGCTGATATGAAGAGGAAGGCAGAGATTGGAGTCGTCCAGAAGCCACCAGAAGCTGGAAAAGGCAAGGAATGGATTCTCCTCTAAGCCTCCAGAGGGAGCATGGCGCTAATGACACCTTGATTTCAGCCCAGTGATAATGATTTCAGACTTCTGGCTTTCAGAACTCTGAGAGAATAAATTTCTGTTGTTTAAAGCCACCAAGTTTGTGATAATTCGTCACAGCACCTCAGGAAACTAATACAATAGGTTATGTTAAATAGACTAGCTTCAACAGACAGTAAGAACATTTTTAAATTACTGTTGCTTCCCTTAGAACAATTCATCATTCTTTATTTTCACATCAAATATGAGTACAATATCTTAAAACTTTATTATGTTACTCCTACCCATCAAGTATAAATTCTCAGGAGTGGTAACAGGAATATTAACAAGTTTAATATCATCTTCATCTGCTTTGTCCCAGGAATTAGAATTGCCACAAGCACAGCTATGACAAGAATTGACACTCTGGACCTAAAAGTAAGATTGACAGAAGTTACTTCAAAATATCTTTTGTGATAGTATTTTGTGATCTGTCATACTTACAAATTATTTATATAAATCTTATTCCTGGTAAAACAAAACATGTAATTTCTACCTGAAGAAAAAAATCTGATCCTATTTAATCAAACTTGGGAGTCGTAAGACCCTAAGCATTCTGAGCCTTTGTTCAAAAATACACAAGTAGAATAATATTTTGAACATAAATCAGTTATTTCCATTAAAAAATCAAGCAGTTATTTTTATAGTGTTGTTATTAAGTATTTACTTATAAATTTTATCCACACCTACTTTTATTTAACTAGCTTATTTTCCTTTTAAAATTTATTACAATGCTGATTCTCTGCTAAATGATAACTAAAATTGAAAAGCCTCTATCATCTTCCCTTCTCTAGCAAGATCCACCAAGCCCATTATTTCAGTCACCTCTGTGCAGACGTCTCCCAAGTCTCTAACTCCAGTTCCTTCTCTTTTGGGGAATCTAAGCCCACACTTCCATTTGCCTGAAGAAAACAGGCGCAACCAGTTTTCTTAGGGTTCTTTCCATACTAAGAGGATCTATAATTGTATAACATTTGAACCAATAGATAACATTGGATATATAAACAACCTTACAAGAAAAATGAGAAAATTTTTTCTTTACTTACGGAGGTCAAACTCTGTGCAGAACCTGAGAGTTTACTGAAAAGTCCTCCATTAGCATAGTTACAAGACTGAGAGCCTTTCTCTTTGGCAGAACTTAAAGATAATGTCAAATTCTGTCTACTACTGGAACAACTTGAACCTATCAAACAAACATATTAAAAGTATCAATAACTCCAATGATAAATTTCAGGTAAAATTTCAGTTTATATTATATTTATTCAGGAAACTGATTTTAAAATACATTTCATTCAATTGTGGGAATTATTAAATGTACACCATTATTAAAATCTACATCTCTATAAAATGCTTTTAACACTGCTAAAATCTGCTTCTGAAATGAAGATTAAAACATTCATCTAATTAATCAGGGCAATATTTGAATGGCCTACTGTAATCAGTATAAAAATACTTGCAACTATGAACCTTCAAATTATAAATTTAACAAAATATAAGCACTTCCTTTCCTGAATCACCTCTAAACTTATCCATATCGCATTACACTGTAATTAGTTTTGGATACGTCTGTCTCCCCTAACCATCTATCCATTCATCTCAGACAGACGTTGTATCTTAGTTTATCTTAATACAGCAGTTAAGACACTCCTCGATTCAAATTCTGGCACTTATTAGTTATATGAACTTGAGTAAGTCACTTAACTTTCCCATATCTCAATTTTCTTATGTACAAAATGGGAACAATAACATAGGATTATAGTTCTAATTCATAGAATTGCTATAAAGATTAAATAACACAGTGAATATACAGCATGTAGCACTGCACCTGAGATCTAATAAAATCTCAGTAAGTTAAAGCCATCATTATTGTTGTAATGTTCACTGTACTTGGCACAAAATTGTCATTCATTATTTGCTGGACTAACAAATCACAAAAGCATAGGATACATTAAATAATAAATTTAAAAATAATAAAGAATTAAAAAAGTAAGAAATCCAGTATACTCAAGAAATTATTTTTTTTTTTATTTTGGTGAGGAAGATTAACTCTGAGCTAACATCTGTTGCCAATCCTCTTTTTGCTGAGGAAGATTGGCCCTGGGCTAAATCCGTGCCCATCTTACTCCACTTTATATGTGGGATGCCTCCCACAGCATGGCTTCATAAGTGGTATGTAGGTCCGTGCCTGAGATCTGAACCTGCGAACCCTGGGCCATGGAAGTGGAGCATGAGAACCCAACCACTATGCCACCAGGGCGGCCCCCAAAAAATTATTTTTATTGATACAATTTGGCAAAACGTACTATATCTCTAACAAAAACTATAGATCTTTTAAAGGCCAGCAATTCTACTTCTAGAACTTTATATACCAAGAAAATAATCAGACAAGCATATGCAAATCAAGAAAAACATCCTAAAGGGAATAATAGGGAACTGGTTAAATAAATTAGGGTACATTTGTACACTAAATTTAACACTAAGTATGCATTAAAAATGACAGCATAGAGGCATCTTTACTGACCTGGAAAGACATTCTTACATATTGTTAAATATTTTAAAAGCAGGTTACAAAAGGTATGATCAGAATTTTACTTAACATATATAAATAATTTACTTGTATATAATGTAAAATTTTACGCCTCAACAGGATCTTTAAATGCAAATATAAAGGGCCGGCCCCGTGGCTTGGCGGTTGGGTGCATGCGCTCCGCTGCTGGCGGCCCGGGTTCGGATCCCGGGATCGCACCGACGCACCGCTTCTCCGGCCATGCTGAGGCTGCGTCCCGCGTGCAGCGACTGGAGGGATGTGCGGCTATGACAGACAACTATCTACTGGGGCGTTGGGGGAAAAATAAATAAATAAAATCTTTAAATGCAAATATAAATATTATCAGTAGTTATTTCTGGGTAGCAGAATTTCAAGTGACTTAATTTTTTTCTCTTTGCTTATCTGTATTTTCTAATCTCTCTAAAATTAATCTGTATTACTTATGAGTTAAATATTAAGGAAGGAAATTTTGGAGAATAAAATACATAAAATCACTGCACTTTAGTTACGATTGACATACAAAATTTCCTTTGTGGACCTAATTCCTCCATTTCTACACACCTTTGTCTGATGCTGCTCTTTTAGTGTATTCAAGTATGAGGTGCTCTGGTTCCCATGGTAATACTTTTCCTTTCTTCTTTCCACGTCTTCTTTTAAAGTGATGGGCCAGAAAAATTACAGATACAGCACTCACTGCAGTTACCACAAACAACTTTTTAGCTACCGGTGAAAATTTGATCTGGAAAAGATGTAGTTAGATTGAAAAAATGTCTTTTCTTTGTTCACTTAAAAGAAAGACATAAGAACTAAAACTATTCTTAAACTGACCTAGTTCTAAATACTACCAAGATAATATTTCACTCTTCCAATGATGGTTAGCCCAATTTGAATTAAAAAGAAAAAGTAGTAATTTATTACCCAATGCTCTGAAGTTCTCAGGTAAACAATACTACCCAAAAAGTCAACGGGAGCACAAAATAATTCAACCCCACTAATATCTGTTGAACAACTAACGATTAATTCATGCAACTGAATCTTCTGTCTGAATCCTAACAAGGTTTACAGGAATGACTAATCAGACTTTTAAAATGAACCAATTTTTTTAACTATCTAGAATTTTGGGCAAACATAAATTAACTCAATTTCTAAGTACCTTCTGAATAAGCCCTTTTATTCATGAATTAACCAACAAATATTTATTCAGCATCTTACAATGTACCAGGACTGTGCTATGAAAATTAAAATTAAAATCTTCTTGTAATTCTATTCAATAAGCATATATTCAATGCCCTCCATTGATCAGGAAGCACCAGGTATACAGAGGATACAGATCTTGCTTCCCTCAAGCAGTGTGGTAATAGTAGAGACCAAGTCACAAATAATGGCAGTATAGTGTGATAAATACAATAATATAAGCATGTACTAAGTACTAACATCAGAGCAAGAGGTAATTAACTTTCTCTTGGGTGACAGACACTATCACCCAAAATACAGAAAAGCTCTAAAATAAAGCTACAGGCTTAGGGATGCAGAGAGCTAGAAAGGGTGTCACTTCCAATCTCAGAACAAAAAGCTGACGAATGGGAGGTTCTCAATTTGTCCTGAACCCATCAGAATGCTTAGGCAGGAGGATCATCAACTGGCTCCGAAACTAAGAAAACAGGGGTATTTGCAGGAAGAGATGAGACATGAATACTGGCATAGGGGACAAAACACAGTAGGATATCAGTAAGAAGAGTTTAGCTGGGGTGGCTGGTAAACTGGTGGAGACTGAGTGTATATTGGTGAGAAAGGGGTACACAGGCCCCCCCTGGGGAGGGGGTTCCTGCTAATGTAGGGGTAATCCACACTTTTTGCAGGTTTTATCTTCACAAATTCCACCAGGCACTCACAGAAAAAGACTGCAAGAGTCCTAAGAATGTCTCCCTAACGGTACTGAACTGGGGTAGCGATACAGCAGTTTCTGTGGACAGGCATGAACTGCATCAGTACCTTCGTCCTCTGTCCCCACAAAGCAACAAAGGCCTTAAACTGTGGGATGTAGCTTTAACTTCACAGAGAAATTTACACCATTAAACGCTTATATTAAGAAAAGAAGAAAGGTATCAAATCCATAATCTGAGATTTCACCTTAAGAAACTAGGAAAAAGGGAGCAAAACCAATCCAAAGCAAGCAGAAGATAGGAAATAATAAAGACTAAAGAGAAATCAACGAAATGGAAAACAAAATCAATAAAATCAAGAGCTGGTTTAAAAAAAAAAATCAATAAAACTGACAAACCTCTAGCCAGTCTAATCAAAAAAAAAAAAAAGAGAGAGAGAGAAAAGACACATACTACCAAGATAAGAAATGAAAGAGGGGTCATCACTATAGACCTCGCAGATATGAAAAGGATAAAAAAACTCTATGCCCATAAATTAAACAACTTAAATGAAATGGACCAATTCCTTGAAAGACAGAAACTATCAAAACTCACTCAGGAAGAAATAGCTATGTAAAGAAATTGAACATGTAGTTAAAACCTTCTAACAGAGAAAACTATAGGCCAAATTCTACCAAATATTTAAGGAAGAAACACCAATTCCATACAAAGAAGGAATACTTCTCGATCATTTTATAAAGCCAGCATTACTATTAATATCAAAAGTAGACAAAGACATTAACAAAAAAACCCCTACAGATTAATATCTTTCATTGATAGATGCAGAAATCCTTCACAAAATCTTAACAAATAGAATCCAGCAATATATAAAAAGAATAATATATATGACCAAGTTGTGTGTATCCTAGGAATGCAAATCAGGTTCAACATTCAAAAATGAACCAAAACAAACTAAAGAAGAAAAGCCATAATATAATCTCAATAGATTCAAAAAGAACATTTGAAAATATTCAACATCCACTTATAGATTTAAAAAAAAAAAAACTCTCAGCAAATTAGGAACAGGTGTACTGGGTTAAATAATATCCTCCCCAAAATTCATGTTCACCTTGAACATCAGAATGTGACCTTATTTGGAAATAAGGTCTTTACCAATGTAATTAAGGTAAGAATCAAGATGAGAGCATACTGGATTAGGGGGGCCCCGAATCCAATGGGAGAAGTCTTTATAAGAGACAGAAAAGGACGCACAGAGACACAAAGGAGAAGACCATGAGAAGAGGGAGACAGAGATGAAAGTTAGGCTGCCACAGCCACGGAATGCCTGGAGCCACCACAAACTGGAAGAGGTAAGGAAAGACTCTCCTCTAGAACCTTCTGAAGCAGTGTGGCTCTGCTGCATCTTAATTTCAGCCTCCATAACCGTAAAAGAATAAATTTCTGTTGTTTTGAGCCACCAAGTTTGTGGTAATATGTTATGGCAACTCCAGGAAACTCATGCAACGGGGAAATTCCTTAGTCTGATAAAGGGCATCTATAAAAAACATACAGTTGGGCCGGCCCTGTGGCTTGGTGGTTAAGTGCACGCGCTGCGATGCTGGTGGCCCGGGTTCGGATCCCGGGTGCGCATCGAGGCACCACTTCTCCGTTCATCCTGAGGCCGAGTCCCACATACAGCAACTAGAAGGATGTGCAGCTACGACACACAACTATCCACTGGGGCTTTGGGGGGAAAAATAAAATAAATAAATAAAATCTTAAAAAACATACAGTTAATATCATACTTAACGGTGAAAGACTAAATCTTTCCCCATACAGTCAGTCACAAGGCAAAACTGTCTTTTTACCAACATCATATTAGAAGTACTAGCCAGTGCAAAAAAGAACAAAAGGAATAGATATTGGAAAGGAAGAAGCAAAACTGCCTCTATTTGCAGTTGACACGATTGTCTACATAGGAAATCCCAAAGAATCTACCAAAAAAAGCCCCTACATCTAGTAGGTAAATAGCTACAAAGTCAATGATAGCAATAAGCAACTGGAATTTGAAATTTAAAAAGCAACACTATTTATAATAGCATCAAGAAAACCTTTACTTAGAGATAAATCTAACAAAATCTGTGCTAGTTAACAACAAAACACTGATGAAAGAAATCAACAAAGATAAAAGGAGAGATACATCATGTTTGTGGATTGTAAAAGGTCATTTCTCTCCAACTTGATCTACAGAAACAACATAATCCTAACCAAAATCTCACCAAAATTTTTTGTAGATATTGATAGCTTGTTCTAAAAAAATTTAAGGAACGGCAAAGGAACTTAGAGTAACCAAAATAACTGAAAAAGAACAAAGTTGGAGAACTCATACTAGCCAATTTCAAGACAACTATAAAGCTACAATAATTAAAACAGTGTGGTCTTGGTGAAAGAATAGACATATAGATTAACACAATGGAACAGAGAGTTCAGAAATAAACCTGCACAAACACAGTCAACCTATTTTTGTCAATATAGTCAACCTATTTTTGTCAAAGGTAAAAAGGAAATTCAAGGAAAAATTTCTAGAAGAAAATATAGGAGAAAATCTACAAAACCTCATAATCACCAAAAAACAGGAATAATCTGGATATCCTTCAACAGATGAATGGATAAACAAACTGTGGTACATCCATACAATGGAACACTACTCAGCAATCAAAAGGGACAAACTGGGGCCAGCCTGGTGGCATAGCGGTTAAGTTTGTGCACTCCACCTGGGTGGCCTGCGGTTCACCGGTGCACTGCTTATCAAGCCATGCTGTGGCGGCATCCATATAAAGGAGAGGAAGATAGGCACGGATGTTAGCCCAGGGCCAGTCTTCCTCAGCAAAAAGAGGAAGACTGGCAACAGATGTTAGCTCAGGGCTAATCTTCCTCATAAAAAAAAAAAAGGAGGAGGACAAACTATTCAGACACACAACAATGTGAATGAATCTGAAATGCATTATGCTAAGTGAAAGAAGCCAATTCCAAAAGAGTATATACTGTATAATTCCATATATATGACATTCTGGTAAGGGCAAAATTACAGGGACAGAAAATAGATCAATTGTAGCCAGGGGTTACCGGATAAGGAGGTGACTACAAAGGGGCAGCATAAGAGAATTTTGGCAGTGATGGAACCATTCTGTTTGGTACCGTGGTGATGGATTCATGATTCTATACATTGTCAAAACCCACAGAACTGTGCACAACGAAGTGCAAATTGCGTTATATGTAAATTTTAAAAAATCAACCAGGATGTGGGGGAAACCCAAAACGGATTGCAGAGTGTGACAAAAAATTCAGACTGTTAGAAATGAAGGACATAAGCACCCTTAAGAGGATGGGAAAGAAAGGGGCTGACCTACGTAACAGTGTTCGGACAGGAGACTGTAGGGCTAAAGACAAAAGAATGATACACAAACACTGTAATCTAGCTGGTAAATTTGTTTCTCAAAGGGGTATTGGGGTAGCAATTCTGAAGCTACTTTACGCATATACTAGATCTTGTAGTAAGTAAATACACTGTGGATAGTATATTATAGATAATGAGAGGCAGGGGTCTCACTGATGGAGAAAGAAGTTACACATGAGCAAAGCAGGAATGATAGAATGAAACCTGATGGACGTCAGAAGAATCAATATGAACCCATGTTTTGTTTTTTCTTTTTAATATATATATGGATAGACAGATTCGGAAATACAGTTGTGTGTGAATACATAGACTAGTACGCATTGACACATTTCCTAGCTCTGTCTCCTAAGAGTGCCTAGAAACAGCGACATCTCAGTAGCAATGCACATACCTTGCACCCAGATCTTAGTTTCTAAATGC